AAACAGATGCGGCAATGGAGAGAGGAAGAAATGCAAAGCACAGGGGTTTTATTTTGGTCCAGAAATTGGCAAACGATATAAAGGAGTGATTGAACAGTTCACAGAGCCAGAAACAAAACAAAACAGCCCTGAAATCAGAGGAGAGGAGTTCTGGGAAGTGTGGGCCTATAGGTATGAAAAATACTTGACTAAATTGGCTTTGGGGGAGCCAGGGTTGCTTCCATGGCTGGCTCATGTTCACTTGACAGGCTGCAGTCACCAGAGGCTGGGCGGTACTTTCATCCATCTGCTTTCAGCTGTTATTTTCAGCAGGGTCTGTGTTTCAATCATTCTTGATTTACCATTTGACTTTTCTGATTGGACTGAGACTTCGGTTTAGTGCGAGCAAACGGCTCCCTGCTTGGCAAGGTTCTGGCTTGCTACGGACTTTTTGTTGGTGGTGGGTAAAACTGAGGATTTTCGAGAGAAATTTAGGAGCTGAAGGTAGGACTAAAACACAACTCAAGATGACAGACTGTTTCTGACTCCAGTTTGGAGTAGGGCTGGTAGGAGGCAAAGGACCCAACGTGTGTTTCTTATTCCTCTCCCATATATCTAAAGATTTTTCTTTGTGTGTGTGCTCTTTTTTTAGTCACATGTAACGAAATTTAACTGTTCTCGCTGTTTTCCTAATGTATGACAGTGTCTCCTCAACTTTTTATTTTTTTCTTTATACTCTTTCCGCTTTTTCTTTTTCTGTGACCTAAGCCTGAAAACCACGTTCAATCCCCGTTAGTCACTGATATCTTCCTCTCTGCTGCCCAGAGACCTTTGACTGCAGCAGACTACCATACAGTACCTAACTCCATTATCCTGCATTTATCCGAGTTTACAAATTAAAGGTGCCGTGAACTGTGATAACACTTTCAGTTACAGATAGCTAAAGCTACAGTCCTAAAGTCATACAGACCTAAATACATGTAGGTGACATAGTTAAGTTAGTCTTGAGTAACTTAAATAATGTCTTACCATCTGCAAATTTTGCTCCTCGCTCTGCTTTTGAGGTTATTAATAAATGATGCTCCTCTGAGCAAACCCAGTTTGCCTTGCTAAAAATCGCCTGTTTCTTTCTTTTCTTGAACTTTGCTTTTCAACTACTCTTTAATAAATGGTAGTGATTACCCCTGGGTAACTTTGATTTCTTTATAATATTGTGGAGAATTTTGTAAAAACCTTTTCAAATCTGATGAACCTAAAAGTTAATTTTCTGTACTATTTTACTGTTATATCCTCAGTTCTCAGACTAAGCAGCTGTTGGACCATGACAGTCCTTTTCCTGCCCCATTTCACCTCTGCGCTCTCTGCACCGCTATCACTCATTGCATTCCTGATACATTTAAATGACAAATTTATTAGAACAAATTCCTCTGTTCTTTCTGTTGTCTCAGTACAAAACTTGGACTAACTTTGGGTGCCAAACCTAATAATAAATGGGACTGAAAACCTCTTTTCTGGCTCTTGCTTCTGAATTTGCCTTTCTTGTTTATTATGTAAAAGGGCTACATTATGGTTATGTTGTGCCGTCGTAACGAGCATCTGAGGTGAGGCTGGAGGTTCACTGGCAAAGCTGTGGGCTGAGGAGGGGGAGAGTAGGAAGGTTTGCAGCTCTGCCCTGCGGTGCTTTCAGCAGAGCACATAGGGAAGGCTGCAGTGGCTTTGCTTGTCTCCAGCTGTGCTCCTGGCCACTCTACTGGGAGTAGGAAACCTAAGCAGGTCACACAAGAGGTGAGCTCTGTGAGGCTACACAGCAAGAACCACTTAAGGTGACATTTGCTCTCCTTGGAGTAATTTGTCCAAAGCTTTGTTTTGTTCTGTTTTGCTTGCATGGGAAATAAGAACGTAAAGGCATCAAAGCTGAGTGTCTGCCTTTGCTCCTGGCAGTAGTCAGGTGGATAAGTCAGAGGACAGCGCCAGTAACCTCTGACAGTGTTCCACAAAGTAAATACAAGCCAGAGAAACTTCACTTTTTCATTCTCTGATGCAAGTATTTGTTTCAGGAATACAACATCCTAAAGGCAGGTCATCGCTCCCATTTTTCCAAGTGAACTTTGAGCTGTGTGTTTAATGCTGGAAGAGAGCTGAACAACACTGGCATGCAACCAAGACCACGTTTTAAAGCTTGCGCTGAGTAATGTTTGTACAATTCAGATGACACGATGAACTGTAGATCACAAGTGATCTCCAGGCAGGAATCTGTCAGAGTGGCATGTTGCTAAAGTAATGGGAGAACAAGAGCTGACTCATTAACTGCAAGTTCCCTATGAGGATGAAAACAAACATCACTTTTGGCTCTTTTGCTTCAGTCACATTGAGATGTTTTCATTTTGACTTCACTGGATGTTTACACTTCGTAGTGTGCCATGTCATGAAAAAAAACATCAGAAGCCAACCCAAATGAAACCCAAAACTGGTTCATCATCCATGCGTCCACCCTGGCATCTCTGGCTGGATCAGGCACTGTCCACATGCACTCAGGCTCCCCCAGGACACGGTTCTGGGTCAGTCCACGTCCTGTTCATCGCTTTGGTTTATGCACTGACGACTGAAGTCTCGCCTGCACCGGGCCTTTCTCAGGCCGGGGCG